TCTCTCTCTCTCTCTCTCTCTCTCTCTCTCTCTCTCTCTCTCTATATATATATATATATATATATATATATATATATATATATATATTAGGGTTCAGCCTCCTGATGAATCGGTGTAACTCCGACGAAACAGTTTGTCACAGCCCGTCGTTTGTTGTCCTCTTCTCCCTCTCTGCCTACGGTTTACCGGGCAGTTCTATTTGACGATATATATATATATATATTTCTCCCTCTCTGCCTACGGTTTACCGGGCAGTTCTATTTGACGATATATATATATATATATATATATATATAAATAACAGGTTGGCTTTTGTGTTTTTCTCCAGCCAAAAATGACCTTCAAAATCCAAATCTATGCTCCTGATGGATGGGTACTTCATGAGGAATGCATGAGCTTTCTTTTGCTTCAGTTGAATAGAAAGAAACAGCAAGTCAGCAATCAATTTGTAACCTGGAAGTTCAAATTGACGGATATCTATGATCTGGGTTAGGATTAGATATGTCTATAATCTGGGTTAGGATTCGATATATATCTATAATCTGGGTTAGGATTAGATCTTCATGAGGATTAGATCTTCATGCTACAGTTCCTACATCTTCTCAAGTGGATCTTTTCCAACATCCAAGTAAAAGTTACAATCACTCCAAAGAAGTCAGATCTGCATGAGAGCGCGTCAGCAACAACGTCGTACTTCCCTTCCTCATGCCTGTTTTCACATTTGCCAGTACGCTTGTTTTTCTGTTCATTTGTCTCCTGTCTGCCTCCCCTCCCTCTGGTCGAAAGCAGATAATCTTGTGCTTCTTTCAACATCTGTGGCACTGCTGCTCATTCGCAGTGCATATTATTCCCTGGGCCAACCTTCTACTCTTGCTGATGCTTTATTAGCCTCTCTTTTTACAGCTGAACGCGCTGAGACCAGGGTTGGAGGTGTTAGGCTATCGAGTTGCGAATGTGAATGGACTTGAGAAGCTATCACCTGCAAAGGCAGTGAAGAGGAAAGGGCAAGTACTCTCATTTCAACCAACTGATTGGCTGCCGGATTGCATTGCATTCATGGCAAAAATGCCCGTGTGTGTGAAATTTCATGGATCATTATATTGTTGTTTGATGTGCAGTTTCTTGTGCTTGCGCATTCGAAAATGGAATCCTTCACCAAATGATTAGCCATGCAAAAAAAAAAAAGTAAATTTAGTAATTTACTAAATTACTTTCGAACTTTGTTGTGTGTAGAACAAGTTATTAACTGGTTTACTCCTCGAACCGTCCAATGGTGCTTGGTGTGCAATTTTTGGTGCAGGATGGCCAGTCCCCACTTCATGGAGCAGTCGGTCAAGGGTGGTATAACGTTGTGAAATACCTGGTGACGTACCGGAGCATGTCCTGCCGTGAATGCCGGCGCTATAGGTGCCGAATTCATCAAGTGGATATCAATTCAGCGGATTGTGTAGGTTTCTCGGAGATCCTCGCCCCTTTTAATTTGCTGTCCCTGCCTGCAAGGAACTATTCGTCATGGCTCTGGTTGATATTCTTATATGCCTTACACATGGAGAGCTTCAGTGATCACCTCTGCCTGTCTCTCTCTCCCTCGCTATCTTCCTCTCAATTCTTCCTCTACGCCTTGCCCTTCCTCTGCATCTCGCGCTCTTTGCCCCTTCTCGGTCTCCTTCTCTATCTCGCTCTACTTGCCCTCTCCCTCGTCTATCTCTTTTCACTCTTCCTGTTCATCTCTCTTCCCCCTCTTTCTGTCTGCCTTTATCCCTCCTCCCTGTTCTCTTCATATCTCTTCTAGTATTCCTCTTTTGCTGCCTCTGGTTTGACCACTGGAACCTTATGGAAATCTTCCCTATATGGGAGCTACTGTCTTCCCCCGAGTAGGACACACGGTCATTTTACCCTGTAGCTGGACTACCATTCAGTCTAGATACAGCGATAATGAGCATTTGGCGGAAGAAGTTAGTTCGTCACAGGGTCCACAGCCTTTGGCAAGCTGTAGATTCATGTTGAAGGACTCTGTCAGAACCTGTCTTAAGGGTCAAACCTGTTTGACAAGTCAAAACTGCCTTGCTTTGGTTGCAGGTCTGGAGTTACTTGCTATTGAGGCTGCTGTCTATTTTGAACACCATGTTTTCTCCATTCTTTTCTACTCTCAGGACTTCACACTTAGGGCCAGGCCCCATTGATGCTATGTTCATGTTCATGCTAGGAAAGCATGAACATAGGCCCCATTGGTGCTATGTTCATGTTCATGCTAGGAAATCATGAACATAGCATGAACATAGCATGAACATAGCATGAACATAGCACGGACATAGCAGCATGAACATGGCATGAACATAGCTCCAGTGAGGCCTGTCTCTTACACTGAGCTTTGCCATGTAAGAAAGTGCAAGTGTGCTTTTGAAGACAGGCGTACTACATTTGCATGGCTTGCACTTTGCTAAGAGCTATAGGATTGATGGAGTTTCCTTTGCGTTAGTAATAGAACTCTCCTCACTATCAGTATAGGCGTTTACATCCTGCGGCACTCTAATGAACTAGATAGTAGATAACAATTGGTTTATGGAATGGGTTCTGTTTTTTTTGTTAATTACTAATTAGTAATTACTTATTATTTAAGAACACAGGCACAAGCATAGACATGTGTGCACAGGCACACGTATAGACATGCGTGCACAAGCACACATATGCACTCCCTGCGCTCGTCAACCACAATGAAATTTGACCGCCCTGCGTTGGTACTACTGTTCCACATTCATTATTCACTTCCTGTCTTGGAGTCTCTGTGCAGTTCTTGTTTTCTTTTTTCCCTACCTTTTTGTCCTGCTTCTTGTTGTCAATGAAAAAAAAAAAAAAAAAAAAAAAAACAGACAGAACATAGTCAATCTTGAGCCTCTCTGCGTGAGAGCAGGTTGCCTGATGTCATCTTTAGAAGCAAGCAGAGAAGTGACTATTCCTACGGAAACTGCTTTCCTGTTTGCTCCTTTCTTTTGGCTAAGGAAGATGATCTAATGCTTTTCACTCTTGAGCTGTGTGTCTTGCTGACTTCTTGCGTAGAATTCCATAAGGTCCTATCAGGCAGTTCTCTATTAAGACTCCTTGATGTGTCTGCTTCAGTCTGGCAGTTGGCTATCAGGCAGCACACTTTTCCTGACAAAACTCCTTGATTTGTCTGCTTTCTCTGGGCCATTCTACGTTCCCTGTTGGATCATTCTCCATTCAACCTGGACCTCTGTCCCAACCTGTTGCTGTACTGCCGTCTTCACCTGAATAGAACGCCCGGTCATTATTGCTGTATGTAGACTGAAAATTGCACCAAATATGGCTTTAATGACTGGGCGTTCTATTCGGGTGAAGACGGTAGCCCCCATGTTTCAGAGATCAACACCTTTCTTTTGTGTATAATGTCTTTGACATCTTCTCGTTGTTTTCCCTCCTTTGTGACTCACGAGTCATTTTTTATTTTTTTGAATTTTTCCCAAAAGGCGACAGCCTTGAGGTATGATCATGAAACTGACAGGCCCCAGGAATATTGTTCATCTGGTTCCATGTGGATTCGAATTCGGGTCTGCATTTCAACAGTTCATGGGTGTACCAACGGAGCTAAGCCCGTTGGTCTCATGAGTCGTTTTGCTCACGTGATGGCGGAGAATTCATGCTTTGGTCCGGTGATGGACACACCATGTTGTAACACAGATGCATGTTCTCTCTGAGCACCAGAGATGTAAAAGCTCATTGTATTATCGTAGGGAAACGTCGAGATGACGGAGGGAAAGGAGGAAAGAAGGAAAAGAGGAGGGGGAGGGGTGGAGGTTAAAGGAAAGGAAAACACCTGCATAACTAATCCTTCTCTCTGTATTCATCTGTAACAGATGGGCACAACTCCACTGCATATTGCAAGCACATTCCTCACAAGCCGAATGTATGATCTTCTTGTGAGACACGGGGCGGATACAAGAGCCGTTGATGTGGTGAGTGTTAAGACGATCGATGGTAGATTTTTTTGTTGTTGAGCTCGTCAAATACAGTACGTTGCAAAGTTTTCGAGGAAACGTGAAGTTGAAAATGTTTCCTCAAGCACTATCATTATGTCCACCTCAGCAATCCTTCAGCCAAAGTCATAATATTGTGCTTGACAATGTTTGACAGTGATCGACATTTTTTGACCGGCAGTGGGCCCCTCGCTCCACTACTCACCAAATGTGCAAAATGAGAATGAATCATCCGCTAGAACACGGGAAGATGCACCGCCATATATTTTTTTATATTTTGTGCATGTGGAGAGTAGTGCAGCGAGGCCCAGTGTTCGACAGACACTGATTGGCAGAGTGGTTGACAGTGTGTTTGACAGTGTTTAAACCATCAGTACCTCCGAGAGTCACCGGCATGTGGCCGCGACTTTCGAAGGATGAACGGGCCACTACCATAGCGCCCCAATTCAGCCGAGTCGAAACGCTTACACTCGTTCCCGTGGGCGATATATGAGAAAGGTACTGGTGGTTCACCAACTGAGAAAGTCAGCTTGTCCCTCCTGGCTGGTTGTGCAAGTTTTGCCTCATTTTCCAGCCCGTGCCAGGTGTTAGGATCTTGGGTTCTGCTCCCCGCACAGAACAGAGCGAGGTAGGAATAGGCCCATAACCTTAGGATAGCTCAGGCACAGTTGGTAGATTTAAGGCTGACTTCTTAGCAGGTGACCTTAGACCCTGTGCCTTAGCCTCTAGTCTTGGACCCTCGATCTCCCTGGTTGCCAGTGGTTGGTCTTGTGTCCGATGTTGTCGTCTGTCTTGTAGGTCTTGTGGGTAAGGCATGGATATGAGTAGCTAGTGTGAAGCAAGAGAGAAGAAAATAGGGTAGGGCCCGTAGGGGAAAAAAAAAAAAGAAAAAAGGAAGGTACTGGTGGTTTTTCAGTGTTTGACAGTGTTTGGCAGTGTCGGAAGACTGTTTGACAGTGTTTGACAGTGTTTGACAGTGTTTGACAGTGTTTGACAGTGTTTGACAGTGTTTGACAGTGTCTCGCAGACAGTGTTTCACAGTGTTTGTCTGTGCTTCAAAGTCCTTGACAGTGTTTGACAGTCTTTGGTAGTGTTTCGAAGGCAGTGTTTCACAGTGTTTGACAGTGCTTGAAAGTCTTTAACACTGTTAACAGTGTTTGACAATGTTTGACGGTGGCTGACAGTGGTTGACTGTAGACAGTGTTTGGCAGTGCGTAAATTGCGAAAGTTACAGTAAATGTGCTTGATGGTGTTTGAATTGCGTGTCCTTGAACCACCAGTACGCTTCCCAGGCAGTTTTTCAGAGTCGCGGCATGCATGCAGCCGCGACTCTCGGAAAAATACTTCCCGGGATGCCGTTTCACTGGATATCCATCCAGGCAAAACGGGCCCCGCATGCGACTTGTTTCGCCTGGATGGATATCCAGCGAAATGGCACCGCAGTACTTCCCAAGAGTCGCGGCTGCATGCACACCGAGACTCTAGAAAAATGGCTGGGAAATGCATTGGTGGTTTGATTGATGTAGTGTTCCAGATGTTTACCATTGGGGTAACCGTTTGTACTAACCGTAACTGTAAATTGTAACTGTGCTACCTTCTTCACCCGACGATAAGGCGTATTTTCTTTACATAACAGAAGGCATTGCATGCGTGCTATTTGTTAAGAATGCATATGAGTTGGGGACCAACTTTTCGTAGCTGCAAAATCAGCTGGTGAGGGGTGGGCTCAGTTCTGAAGCCACCTTGTTTCAGATTTTCATGCTTTCTTGGCCACATCTCATAAGCTGTGATAATGCTGCATGACCACATCTTGAAGTGCTTGTATATGTATCAACACTCTTTTCATCGCATGTTATGTGTGAGTGATAGAGAGATGAAAGAGAGGTAGAGGTGGAGAGAGAGAAAACAAAAGGCTGTGCAAGCAATCCTAGAGAGAAGCAGCCACAAGGACTGAGAGAGAATGTCTGTGTGTGTGTGCTGTGTGTGGATAAGAATCTCTTTCGTGCATAATTGCTTTAGTCTCACACATTATGCTGTAGCGTGAGGAAGAATGCATGTGTGTGTGTGTGTGTGTGTGTGTGTGTTTGTGTGTGTGTAAAAGAGAGAATGTGTCACAAGTGAACATAAGTGCCTTAGTATGATATTTTGTTAAAAGAGAGTGTTGTGATGTGGGATTGCATACAAATTAAGATTGCAAATTTGCAATATTAAATATTATATATAGCAAGTTTTTCAACTTTCAAAATTCAGAGTATGCTGTCCATTCGAACATGACCAATATGTGGTTTATTTGAAGTGTTCGTGTTCTATTCAGACAAAATGGATTCAATGGAACGACTTTCAGGAAAAAAATGGTTTTTAGGAAAACTTGAATCCTAGACGTACGCGTTACATTCAGGAGACTTCCTTGTAGGGACTGTTTGAGTTTGTTCAACTTTGTTGCAATAAGTAAAATAAATTTAAATTATTCAATTGTAATTTATAATTGTAATAATGATACCAAGATATTAGCAACTGTCATTGTAGGAATGGGAAGTTTGCAAACAGTAACAAACAGTAACAAACAGGAACAAACAGGAACAAACAGGAACAAACAGGAACAAACAGTAACAAACAGTAACAAAGTAACAAACAGTAACAAAGTAACAAACAGTAACGAAGTAACAAACAGTAACAAACAGTAACGAACAGTACTAATTAGTAATTACAACTGCACTAGTGCTTGCTCTGGTAATGACTTTGGTAGTAGTAATTCTGCTGATAATAACCGTGCCATATTGGCTGCTGCAGTGGTATTGTGCTTACTCTGCATGTGTGTGTTGTCATGTTCGCTCTGTGTGTGTGTGTGTGTGTGTGTGTGTGTGTGTGTGTGTGTGTGTGTAATTTGGCATTTGCAGTATGGGCGGTGTCCGATTTCTCCTCGAATACGACGGCAGCAATTCATTATGGAGTGTGCGCCTTTTGTTTTCAGTTTGTTGTTTCTGTTTGCTGGTATTTATGTCAAGAAATGTGTGCTTCGCAATGATGTTGAGACGGTTGAGGGATCAACTGATGTCTGATTTTCTGAGGCAACTAGTGCAGTGTACATAATTGCTTTTTCTAGTGAATTTTGCTTCTATGATCATTCTGAAATTACTTCCGTTCAACAAGCAGCAAGAAGGAAAGTTCTTTGTATATTACAAAAGTGTGTGTGTATGCACGTGTGTGCATGTGTGTAGAATGTATATAACACATAGAGCGTATTGCCTGCAAAGCAGGACCTCTTATGTATGCGCATGCTCGAATCTCATCCACAAAGAGGTCACACATGTGCTTGTGTGCTGGAGTGTTTTCTGGTCTGGAAAACAGCCACAAGACTGAAGATGCAATGGACAAGTGAGATCTTTGTTAGCAGCATTTGACGAAAAATGAGGATGATCTGTGCATCATTGAAATTCTTTTTTCTTTAGGCAGCACCTGTAGTGTGGTTTAGAGTAGCTGCTATTAATCACTCCATGTGCTTTGGGTCTTGCTGGGGCTTTACAGGGTTTAGGTGTTTTTCATCAATATTATAGCTCAGGAATCTTCGCAGTTTACGGTTTAGGGTCCAAAGTCTAGGGTTTAGGGCTTAGGTTCTAGGGTTAGGGTTTAGGGTCTATAACTTAGGGTATTCGATTTAGGGTTTAGGGACTTGGTCATGTCCGCGTTTGGTATACTATTTCCAAATAACTCTTCAGGTCGTCTGTTAGACTCTTCTATTTGCCTTAAGGTTTCGTCCGGGGGTTAGGAGCTCTGTCTGGTGAGTGTTTGAGGCTTTCAACACCATTCGTTGGTGCTATGTCCGTACCTGGTCATAAGATCGCCCATATACGTGCTCTCTTAGCCTGAACCTTGCTAGCATCATTGGGGCCTTACTCGAAATGTCTTTACTCTTTCCTGTTCTTCTGCCTCAGTTTCTCACCACCTCTGCACTGCCTCTTGATTTGTCACTCAACAATTGCTCAGCTCATATGGGATGAAATGCTCTCTTGTCTTTTTTGTCCCTCTCCCCTCCCCTGGCCCCCCGCCCCCTCCCCTTCTTTTCTGAATTCTTTCTTCTTATAAGACGGCACTCTTCGTTTTGAGATGCAAAATGTTATGCTGCCTCTCATTTGAGAAATTTTGAGATGTATGTGATATATTCGATTCAATTCTTTGAATTCTTTCTTCTTCACTTCCTTTTTTTCCCAGGGAAAATTGTATGGTTTGTCTGAAGAGGGACACTGTCTTGCTGCCACACATGTGATGCATAAGTGTTATAGGGAATTGTTTTTGGCTTTTCTTTTCTCTGTTCTTTAAAACTCTTTTTCCTGCTTTTTCTCCCCCAGAAGACTGGATTGACTTTCTAGAGATACAAACTCCTTGGCTGCCTGCTTTACATTCATATATGTGCACACCAGTTTTTTGAGTTTTAAATTCATACGTGCACCAGTTTTGTGTACCGACCACCGTGGGAGTGGCTACCGTCTTCGTCTGAATACAACAAGAATAGCAAAATCGGTAAATTAAAATTTCCCAAGAAAGTTCCGTTTTCAGACCTCGGCGAAGAAAATCCGAATATGGGCTTGGCGGAATGGTTCGGATGGTGCATATGACATCAGAGCGATAAAGGCAATCGCTAAATCGCCGTCGGCCTCAGTAAGGCACGGGGAAGTGCAAATCTTACACTACATGAGGATTCACCACCGACAACCAGGCGCGTCTGAAAGTTCTAGGGTTTTTGCGTTCAGTCAATCTACGCAGAGTGACCTCTGAAAGGCCGCACCGATGGGCACTAGAAAGTGATGACATTTTACTGCTACTGAGGCGCAGCGCTACCAGGATCGCTGCGCCTCGGCCGCACAAACGGGAGTGGAGGCGTGACACTAGGGGCTGGTCGAAGTCACTGGGCATGAAGGAGCAACGGTGCAATTCGCCGCCAAGGCTTGGTCGACCCAACGCAGCTATGGAGCGAGGGTGTAATCGGGAGGCGGGCTGGGTTCCGCCATCTCAGCACGAACGATCCTCTTAACTGTTGGAAACGCCATGGTAAGGAGCTCCGTTTTGTCTGATCACGTGTAGCTATGGCGATAGCTAATAGCCGACGTTCGTGCTCCGCTGATTTTCTTGGACTTTCTTATAGCACAGGGGTCTGCTTTGTGCTTAGGTCTACCTGCATCACAGGTTGGCAGGGTGAGAGCGAGGAGGTGCCGTTATCGCAGAGTTTGAGTGACCTTGGCAACTCTGAGGTTTACCCGTTGCTATCCTTGAGATAGATGCCTTGTGCGCCACTGATGTGGGATTATTATGCCACATGGCGAGGGTGATGTTCCAGCGAGGTAGAGGGGCGACATCACATGGAAGTGGAGGGCGAGCGGAACGGTATATTTGCGGAGTATTAGCAATCATCTGCTCTAGAAACGTATAAGACGAGTTGAAACAAACGACGTGTACGGGGGAGGATCTGGACGGCGTTGGCACGAGGCTTGATCAGCACGATACGCATGGTTCTTCGGGCATTGCAGATTGAAGACAATGTCACTTGTGTTTCCGCCTTTTGGTAGTGGTTTTAAATTTTAAGTTTTAACAATTGTTGTTTCCTTTTTGAAATACGCATTGCTGTGGTCGAGATCTATTCACCGTCTATTCCGTCGTTATGTTAGTCTCAATTCTAAAATCTTGAATCCCTAAGTTAGTAATTTCCAAGATTCTGAACCTTGCCAGAATTGGAATCTCTTCACTGCTATTTCCTTAAGTTCTAATTCCTAATCTCTAATTCTTAAATACCTAAATATCATTAATTCTACAGCCCAAGCTCTAGTTTTGAACTTACAAAATTCTCATGGTTGGCAACCAGATGTCTGGCGAAGACAATGGCAAACAAATCATTCAATCTTCTGCCTTTTGCTGTGCAGTCTTTGGCTGGCTTTTTTCGTGGTTTTTTGTGTTCTTCTTCTTTTGGCTCCCCCATTACTGCGGCTCTCAGATACAACGCTCGCCACTTGATGTAATTGAGCGCGAGCTGCCCACATCCCCGTGTGCCATAACAGGCCCACTTGCACACTGCGAAAAAGAGGGGAGAAAGATGGAAGGAAGACAAAAGCAAAGGAAGAAAAAGGCAAAGTAAGGAGTGTTGAATGAAGACGGAAGCATAGGGAAGGATAAGAGAAGACTCATGAGTCAGTCTGTTCTTGCGAATAAAGAGGACATGCGCTTTAGGGATGCGGTGGATGATGATGACACGGAAGACCTAGCTGAGCATTCTCAGCAAAACAATTGCGATGACGGATGACATTACACATGCCCACCAAACACTCCCAACAAATGGCATATCCGTTGCAGGCCAACATGAAGGGAGAACGGGCATCACAGAAGAGCCTGCAGCCATGGTCGCAAAATGCTGCCATTGCAGCGATTATGGCAGAGACATTGACTCGTTCAGGCAAGCGTAACAGTGTCTGTAGCTGTACAGACAAGAAGGTCACACAGAGTTGGTACATTGTCCTGTTGCGACACAGGGGAGAGAAGTGACCTTCGACATAATAGAGTGTGCCGACGGTGTGTGGCAGCAAGAAAACATGATCGTTGTATAAGAAACAGCCAACGTCAATCGTGGTATGGACAATGGTGCCATTGTCCGACAGCTCGCGGTGGTCAGAGGCATGGACAATGGCCATGTAATGGCCAGGTCCGTGCGCAATGCAGGCAGACATGTGGGATGGAGGATGAAAGATGAAACCACTCACAAGGCTGGGCATAGCGCAGTTCAAGCTGGCGGTTCCACATTGCTACTTGCAGGACCTCAATCGTAAGGCCTCTTTCCCAGGTTTAGTTATTTAATTTACCCTCTGGCTGTAGGCAAGGAAGACCCACATCAAGCTGGAGTGGGGAGTTGACCCTGAGTGGGCAGCCTATCCTGCTCTGCAGGTGACCCATGAATCTCCAATGCAGTACTCCGTGAAACAGTGTCTCATGACTGTTTTCCCAAAGTTGGACTATTTGCAGAGGACGAAGGAGCAGATATTGCCCTCTGGAAAAAGGGAACAGCAATAACCTGTGGAGCAGGCACAAAGACAATGGGGCCATACAACAAAGCAGGCTGCGCATTCCCAGATGAGCAACAACAAGGCATGCGCCATCAACAATACACAATGGTCGCGCGGCGAATTGGGGATGATCATGGCTCCAGTAAGAAAGGGGGAACAGTTCAAACAGGAGAGTCTGTTCGCAAGCGAGACCATGGAGGGGACGGAGGTGGTGAGGTGGAGCACCTGAGGCCAAACCCACAGAGAGAGGACTGGGGGGTTGATTGGGCAAGGGTTTGAAAAATAAACGCGTGAGCACCAGGGAGGCTGTGGAGTTCTCTGAAGTGGAACTGCAGCAGTGGAACTGCAGCAGTGGAAACTGCAGCAGAGGACGGAGGTGGTGAGGTGGAGCACCTGAGGCCAAACCCACAGAGAGAGGACTGGGGGGTTGTTTGGGCAAGGGTTTGAAAAATAAACGCGTGAGCGCCAGGGAGGCTGTGGAGTTCTCTGAAGTGGAACTGCAGCAGTGGAAACTGCAGCAGAGGAACTGCAGCAGTGGCAACAGCCGCAGTGAAAACTGCAGTGGTTGAAACCGCAGGTCGATTAATAGCAGATGTGGCATTCTCTGTTCCACACGGGCCCTTCGCAGGGCCCGGTCCGTAGGAGTAGGGGTTAGCAGGGTTAGTAGGTCCGATTAGGCCAGATTAGCACTAGGGTCTGGCGCGTCGTTTCGTTAGTGCCAGGCCCCAGGTTAAAGGCCCTGTTAGGGCAGCAGCAGGGCCCACAGGCCTGGTGCCATTTCAGGCCCTGGGCGCCATTTCCAAAGGGCACAGGCCCTGGGCGCCAGTTTAGGAGCCAAACTCTGTTTCATTTGGACGCCAAGTTTAGGCACCAAAGTTCCCACTCAGGTCACTACCTGAGGCCGGACCAGCGTTATTTATAGCTGGTTGGCCTCAGCTTCGGTAGGCATTCTTCAGGCATTCCTGGAGGTACTCAGTAGCGGTAGCGGTAGTCAACGATAGGATAGCGGTAGTCTTCCAGCGCTGGGCGCTGCATTAGGACTTCAGCCACGAGCGAGCGTTGCAGTCTACTGCAGCGGAGGTTGGAGGGAGACTGGCTATGGCGGAGGCCAGGGAGACTCACCTGACGACTTACCTGTGACGCCATCGCTCCAGCTTCGTCTTCAGTTGGTCCATACCTGCGTCAAGGTGACACCTTTTCGCAGGTTAGTGCCTGGTATACACACACA